CCCTACTTGTAATTGGGGTAACCCCTATTTAGGGGGATTATAATTAGGGTTATAAGCCCAGTTATAAGTACTTACTAAGTCCCATGGGCCTCCAAGTAGCTCACACTCAATCTTCAACCTCATAGGCTGCGAGCCACAAGCCATAAGCCCTTAATCTCCAACCCGAACCTACCTGCAGCCTTCTGGACTGGGGACCCCACGCACCCATGTAGCAGTCGCTCCATAGCTCGCGGAAGAAGTCCGCGCTCTATATGGTCATCGTCCTGCTTTGAAGCTTGGTTGGCCTTTAGCGCCATTTAAGAAATTAGTATATAGGGTCCGTATGAAAGCAGTATAAAAAGGAATGTATTTAAACAACCCAAAGGCCAACCCAGGAATGGGGCAAAAGAGAAGAAGGAATACCTCGTGGCGCTAAGGGCTTTGTAGGGCAGGCTCCGTGGCTTCCAGAAGCTCCTGTAATTGAAAGCTACGCTGCGACTGATCAGGAACATGCCCTTTACAGCCTACTTAGATACTACCAAGTACTATTTCACTGCCCTCAGCACTAGATCGCTGCTACCGTCATCAAGCCATGATTGCTTTGGGGTTAAGAGCACCTTTGCATGATCTATCTCTGCTCATGCTTCTTTATGCTGCTCAGACTACAAACGTTGATTTACATGCTCACGCATGTTTCATGGTGGACGCCTCCATTCAAGCCATATCCTGAATGAGGACCCACAAAATGGCTTCGAGTTTGGCACCACATGGGCAATGCTCGGCAAACAGAAGAAATACTCTCCACCCCTTTGAGGTTTGCCCTGCCTCCCCAAAGATCGAGTAAGTCTTTCCAGACCCTGTCTGGCCGTACGCGATGACGCAGCCACTACCTCAGCTAACGCATGGGTGTTGGAGGGTCAATGTAAGGGCTTGGAGGTTTTAGGGGTGGTCCTTGATTACAGGGAAACCCAGCTTCAATTCAAGCAGCAGACGCAAACATCAGAGCACTTCAAATCTTCAACTAGAATCAGTCGGCCACACTTGACTGGAAACCTGCCCACCACAAAACTGAATGTCAGCACCAATCCCATTGCCCGAAAGTTCCTCACTCCTTTCAGGCCCTCATTCTGGAAATCTCGAGCGTCGCGTGTTTTTGCGTTCACGTGGACCTTCGTAGAAGTTCGTTATTTGTACCTAAACATGCCCTCATGAGGTCATAGACATTCCTAACCCTTCGCCCAACCAACTCTGCATAGGCCCCTTTCTCAACGGCGCTTGTCCATGGTGGGCCCTTTCTAAGTTGCCATGTTATCTCGGGGATACGTGTCTTGCAGTAAGTAGGCTCACATTGCCGCCCAGGTGCAGCCCTGAAGAGCACCATCCTGAGATGCGACTGAAATTTCAACTTGCCTACTGTGCCGTGGATGGAGGATATCATGCAACACCTCGAATAGACTGCAAAATAAGAAGAACAGCAATTTTGGAATCCTAAGTGGAACAAGATTTCCTCCATCCATGGACTGTTTTCTATCTGTCTGTCTGTATGTCTGTCCGAGAACCTCCAGTACTCACGACGTGACTCCAATTTCAAACTCTCCAATCTTCGTGGCACGGCGGGGAACCGGAAGTTGCTTCCATCATCATGCTTAGCTTCATGCTTGCTATGTTGCTGTCGCTGTAAGGACCAAGGCTTCTGCAAAATTCAGATGGCTCTCATGAGTTTTACAGCAGGCTCTCTCACCATACATGTACATGTATATATACATATATATATATATATATTGGTACGCCCCCAAACCAACCTCAACATGCATCTAACATGGTACCAAACGTCTTCATCCCAGTACCCAAGTCGGAGATTGCAGACTCTCAGTAATCGATGTATTCAAAGGGTATTTGAAACATGTATTTACAGACCCCAAACTGAAGATTGAAGATGGGAGACTCTCACAAAAGTCTTCTCCACATCTTCAACTTGCAAAACGCGGTATTTCATGGTACTTAAACAAACATGTTCAATACCATCTAAGTACTCGCACTTTGAAGTTGAAGATTTCAGCGCAACTTATCTGAGGACCTTCACTCTTCAAGGGTGTGAAATATAACGCTTTAGCTACCATTTAAGTGATCTGAATAGAAATTGGCTATTCTGGGAGCATTCTAAGAGTCTCGGGCCTGCAATCCAACATTTAGAGCTCCAAAATACACAAAAACTTGTACAAGACATTGCTGCACTTCACGTCAGGATCGAGAGCTTCAAGGCCTCTAGAAAATGCAATGAATCAACGGCAGTTAAAGTAGGAGGTTAATGCCCCAATGCACGGCTGTAATCTTACGTGAATCATGCATCTCAAATCACGGGATACATCAAATCATTAGATCAAGAGATAGGCCCCAATCTACTTGGTCCAGGCAATTGAAGTAGCCGCCTTGTTGTTCAATAAGCAGGCCTAATCTACATGTTCAAACCAATTCACTGCAGCAATTCAAATTCGCTGGGATCGTGTTTTTTTTTTTTGGCTGCTGCTGCTGCTGATGATGATGATGATGATGATGAAATTGGCCAGTTCAAGAAACACATCTAAGCTGCTAGGGACCCATGGTGACTAACTTACATCGGGGAGTGGCATGTATAATCCATTACTACCATGGTCTCAGCCTCTGCTTTGAAGCTTCCATTCTTGTATGTGCCAGCTAGTAAGATTCTTCGTTCCTCTAAATACTCCCCAAGTAGTCTTCTTGCAATGTTTGTATAACGTGGAAAAAATCCCTTCAGGAATCTAGAAGATGACACCTACACCCTTGACCTTCACACCCCCTGCAAACTCAAACTCTCTAAACCCCAAAGGCCTCTAACACACCCTGACCCCCATTTAGCAAAAACTCAATCCCTACATCCTGAAGTCCTGAAACCCTAAACCCTAGCTAGTAGTAGTTTCCATTTTCTTTTCCACCGTCCCCTGTATCATACTACTATTACTATTCTTACTACAAACCCCCATATAACCCCAATATAATCCCTATATAATCCCTATCTAATCCCTATATAATCCCCAGCCAATCCCCATATAATCCCTATATAATCCCTGTAGAAACTGCTTGAATCGGAGGTTCTACGGCCTGGCCAGCCACCGGCATGAAAAGCTGCTCCTGCGAGGTCTCCTGGTTAAAGACGGCACTGAACTCGAAGCTATGCCTCAGCTTCGGACTTGGTCGCTGGGTGTGTTGAGGAGTGGAGGAACCTCTTGAAATAGTGGGACATCCACGGTTTAGGGTTTAGGGTTTAGGGTTCCATACATCTATGGACTCCATGTTCTGCACAAGGAGTAACAAAGAAAGTGCCGGGATCACTCTTGATAGAGGGGCCGATTGGGGAGGGGCGCCGCAGGCAGCGCACACACGCATACCGGGCACCCTTTTTCAGCATTCTTGTACACTGGGCTGGAAACAATTGCGGGGATCCTTGTGTTCAGAAGCCTGTCTCTGTAGACGGACCAGCTGTGTCATCACCCCTGTGCATGCTAAGTCAAAATTCCCACAAATGACCCGTCTACTAACACCCAAAGATTGCGCCTTTAAAAACAAGAACATTCCCAGTAAATCATTGGCTGCAACGTCTACTATGCATGACTGCAACTAACCTACAAGGCTTGATGTCAATTCAGTTGGGTGAGGTCATGCAGGAGTTGTCAGGACATCATTTTGTATGCGCTGGTTTCCTCGTAGCTGAATATTTCCCGAAATGGGACCCTGTGTCCGCGAGAACCCTCGAAAAGCAAATCGCGGAAACCACTCTCTTCGCCATGCGTCTCTCGACGGCCGGATGATAGCGGGTCTTTGATGGTGATGACACCTGCAGCCCAAAGGGTCCGAGAAACCCACTGTTGGGTACGTGCGATTTTGGGTATGCGCAATCGTGGGAAAAGGATTAGCGAAGCATCTGAATTTCCGATACAACGTCTGCATTCAACACTGGAGGTTGACTGTAAAATTTCCCGGCTTGGACTTGTGGGCGGCCTGATGGGTCGAATGTTGCGAGAGGAATGGGAGAGGAAAAGGTCTGATGTGTAGCTTTCGAGGCGCTATTCAAAAAAGTATGTGTGCTACTCTTATGTGAGCTTCCGCGCAAACGTGAACTGACATCAGCTCTACACGCAATAAGAATCCGATGTACAATCTGGGGAAGTCCATGCAAATGCCCTCATTTGCCTATGCCATGTTACAGCTACCAGATACACAGGCTTCCCCGCATGAGCTGACTGACAGCCTCTCGGAAATTACTGCCAGCTGCATCAGGGAGTCTCCCTGTCCGAATCTTTGACATCGCCCTCCCCCTTGATCGAGAACAGTCAGTGGCGACTTCAGACTGGTTTGCCTTTATATGGAGGCGGGGGGAATTCTTAGAATAGAATAAGAAAAGCCCCTGGAGCTGGAAAACAAGCAGCTCCGTAGCCAATCTTTGCTTCTGTCGACATGCGTGCAATCCGGTTGTGAGCACCTTGTCGCTCAGGGCTGATCTCGAACATCTCGATGGTCTGCCTGTTGCAGATTTGTCAACTATGCGTGCCAACCTGCTGCTCGTCGCACAGGCAAACCCTAGGTCAAGAATCGATGGAAGTCTGTCCTGATCTTCACATGGCTCAGTTTCAAGAGAGAACCGGTGTTGGAGTTTCGGACTTGGTGGCCTCAAGATTTGAGCTTGCAGTATTGCCATGTTTCGGTGTGCTTCGAGAGTCCGCTCCTGTGGAGACTGTTGACAACGGCCCGACAGCGATGCAAGTAGGAAGTAAGAGCTGGCCAGGAATCAAACCACTTTACATGATCTGAAGGGGATGTTTGAGTCGGCCAGGATCTGGAGGACAGCTAACTCTGTCCCGCTACCTGGCTCACTAGAAGGCGTCCAAGGATCTCGTACCCGGGAATCTTCTTACATATTCTGCAATGCCAATATCCCGAATGAATTCGCCCCCGCGATTCTCGTGGTTCCAAAGTGTTCACCTTGATCCTTATCGTCAGTTGTCGATACAGAAATAATGCAAGATGATATAGCACTGGGTATAGCACTGGGATCCTTGTACGGGGACCTTCAGAAAGAACGCCCAGTTCAGATGGCTTTGAGCTTTAGATTGTAACCCGGCTAAACAGAGGGACTCACGAACTTGAGAGGCCCTTCTGGACTTTAGGTCTCTGGGCCTCTCTGCCGGAGGACGCAGCCGGACGAAAACCCGAACCGGCGCTGCCTCGA